CAAGAGTATTTGTCTATTTTAGCAACTAACAAGGCACCTATACATGTGAGGACTCTGCCCTGGTGGTAGAGAGAGAGAGAGAGAGAGAGAGAGAGAGAGAGAGAGAGAGAGAGAGAGAGAGAGAGAGAGAGAGAGAGAGAGAGAGAGAGAGAGCACTGTGTCCATGCATGGGGCTGTGACCCCCTTGTTGCTTATTGATATTCAGTTTGCATCCGCCTTCAGCACAGCCTGCAGAGAAGACAGACCCTCCTCTCTCTAAAGCTCTCATATTTAGGGGAGAAATCCATCCCCAGAGAGAGACCATGATCCGCTGGGATGAGCCATGACATTGTGGATTCTGGGGGGGGGGGGATTTGTGCATATGTATGTGTGTTTAGGTGGTTAACGGATTGTGGGGTTCATGGTGAATGTGGGCAGAAGGAGATCAACATGCCTGAAAAATGTCAGGGAATTAGATATAGACGAGTTATAAAATGTCAGATCTGATGTTTCTAACTGTTTCCTGATGCTGATGGACTGCAAAGAAACACTTTGCAAGGCAATGGTTTGAGGAGAAGGAGAAGAAGAGAAAGGTAAAGGAGAAAAGGGAGGCAAGCAAAAGATAATGAACCTTTGATGGTTATACATAAAATGTTTAAGTGTACATTTTTTACTATTTCCTCAAAGAAAGCCACACAGGGGCCTGATTTAGATAATGCTTGATTCTCCTTACAAAGCCCCATCTGCCTTTTAATGGGATTTAATGCTTAGGTTGTCTCTCTATGTTGGATGTCTTCAGATCTGTCACGCACAAAACCCACATGCACACACACACAACAACACAATGCCAAACACAGAAGTTCATGCTGATCTGCAGGACAGGATGACTGTTTGCTCAGCAGACACATCACATTGTTTTATTTTAGGACATGCTTCACTTCCAGATGAACACACACACAAATGAGACACAAACCGAGGACAAATAGGCAGACAAATCAGAAGACAGGCAGATGTAGGATGGGGTAATCATCAGAAACAAAGGGTTGGAGAATGGCAGGAAGTAGAGACAATAGAGGATGCAGGACAGACATAGGGGTGCATGGACATACTGTATAAGAATAAACTAAATCATATATTGAAGTAATTCAACATATAGGAATGTATATGGATACACATAACCAGACAGACTGACACAAATTCATGCATCAGACAGGCAGACAGTGTTTTCCGCTGTGCTCCCGGTGCTTCAGGGCAGCGCTGTGATGATGGAGATGTCACTCAGCGCTGTGATGGCACAGCCAATTGGTTGACACTCTCTGGCCCATGTTAATCATCTGCTAATTGTGTGTCACATAAGGAGTGTTATACAAGCAGCCGAGTAATGTGATCACGGAGATACCATTAAGATATGATGACCGGTGCTGGTAGAGACATTTACACATTAAGAGGCAGGCGTGTGAATTCATGCCCTCAGTTGCAGGCAAATGCAAAATGATGCAAATAAGCACACAAAAACACAGAAGCACATTCAAATATATATGCAGTCACATATTAAGGTATCATCATTCAAAAACAGTAAAGCTGTTTTGGGGATTCTTCAGGAGTCACTCAAACCCAGTTTCTCTGGAGTTTAAATGCCATGTGTTTCTCTCCTGCAGCAGCAGCAGGGAAGTTGAGAAATGGCCAATCCAAACAAATGAAGTGAAGGCTTTAATCCACAGTTCTCAGAAAAGGAGACTGAGAGAAGCTGTGGAGTGTACAGCCAAGTTAAAGACAAATGAAACACATTTATTTCAGAGCCCTGGCAATGTGGATGCTAATAACAGCCAGCCAGACACACACACAGCCACACACACACAGCAACACACACACACACACTTTCTCTCTCTCTTCTGGGTCTGAGAAAAAGAAAAAGAAAGCGTTGCAGAAGGGATGAGGGAGTAGCAGAGGAGACACAACATACAGAATATAAAAGATAATATGTGTGCATGCAAATCAATTGTTTCTTTCTCTCCAGAGAGATCACACCTTTTCTTCCACATTTAACACTCCCTCCCTCCCTCCTCCAGAAGGCAGAGGGGTGACAGATATGCTCCAAGGTTCATTTTGCTACCTGGAGACCGACAGCCTCCCTCAGCCAGCCAATCAGAGGCTGTGAAAAACAGACTCCTGCACAGCCATTGGTCTACTGCTGCCAGGAACTCATTCCATTATCAATGGCTGTGTCATTGTGTCGTCTAGCAGAGCTGAAGCCAATTATACTGCCCCCTTTCTTTGTTCAGACCTCTTTTCTCCAGCACACCCCCTTCACATATAAGACACACACACACACACACACACACACACACACACACACACACACACACACACACACACACACACACACACACACACACACACACACACACACACACACACACACACACACACACACCACACACACACACACACACACACCACACACACACACACACACACACACACACACACACACACACACACACACACCTCCCCCGACTCCCCAGCATGTTACAACAAGAGACTGAGGCTGTCTGGGAATCAGAAGGACCTGAAACTAATAGTAATGAGACATCATTATAGATACACAGACCCTGTGTCTTTAATCCTGACCTTAATTAGAATCAACCCTTATAAATAGATAAAACCATTTCAAACTGTTTACTTGGACTGCACCTTAACCTATTTAATGTTATACTCTCTTGCTAACCTTAACCCTTACACAGTTCTTGTTTGCCCAGGGGGTATCTATCTAAACCTCCAAATCGTGTTCTCATCATTTTTTGTGCAACTGTAGCAGTTAGCAGTAGGCTTGTTAAGTTCATTTAGTACACTAGAAAGTAAGTGGGTATTGCATGGGACAGGTTGCCTTAAGCACATGTTGTCTGGTTCCAGTTTCTAGTCAGTACTCTGTACTATTGTATTATATTTTTTTCCATTGTGTGGATACCAAACCCTAACTAGATGTGTTTAGTGCAATGATGATGCTGATATTCACCATATGTTCAAATATATCTCACAAAAGTAAAGGATGGCCGAAGGTAGCTGAAAAGGTTTAGTTATCACGATAAAGAAGGCGAGATAGCTGAAAACATTGATGAAAAACTAATGGTGTTTTGGACAAGAGTTACCTTTTGTAGTTAACATGGGCTTCTGTGTTAATGTCCAGAATATGGCCTCTGTAGTCTGTCTGCCTAACCTTTATCACTTGCTTGTCTTGTGACTTCATAAAACACATTAGTCCTATTAAAACAGCAGGATGACATAACAGTCGGCCAAAAGGAGTGTGGGAGCAAAGCACATTTAATGGACATCTAATGAGGGTCCGTCATTGACTGAGAAGACATGGCTCTTGGTTCCAGATAATGACATGAACTCTTCAAACTAAAGTCAAAAACAGAGTCTCCTCTCTGGCTTCTTACAGCTCCCTGTGGCTAACATGAACAGGATGTGCTCACATGTTTACACAGCCACGTGTGGAGAGTAAACACAGTCACAAGTGCAATAGAGCATAAACAACACACTAACACACAGCCACATAAAGAACACACCTTCAGGCCACTCTGGGTTGCAAATGTGCTGGACAAACTCAACGAAAAGACAACAAAAACACACACATGTAGACACAGCCAAGCAGAGACTCTCAGACGCTCTCACGGGATCTTGGTGGGAAAACATCGTCCACTTTTAATCCAGAGATTTCAACTTTTGTGTCAGTTAATCACTTCATCAAAACCAGCCTTGAACTCTGTTTCTATCCCAAATCTCTTTCATTTGCACTGCTACATATTCATTTCATTCATACTCAAACCTCCCCGCTGTTTTTAATTGCAACCCTCCCTCTGTTTCAAACTCGATAGCTCTTCTTCGGGATTAGGCAGACCACTTTATGATACGGTTTCCTTTCCTCTGTGTAAATCATGTTTACTGAGTGTTGCCCCCATACTTTTTAAAGCCTCTCCCTTCCCCTTCCTTTCTTATCCTGATGTGTCCTCCATTCACAGTGGATATACTGTATAATCAAAAGTTACATGTTTGAGCAAAACAGAGAAAACTGTTGTGACTTTAAACGTTGGTAACACTTTACAATAAGGTACACAACATGTGCTTCAGGGACGTGCACAGACATTTTGGGGGGCGGGAGCTCAAATGAGAAAAAGGGCACTTCCCATAATCATATATATAAAAAAAAAAAATGTAAAACAAAAAGTTAAATATAGCCTAGTATTCACTACGCACAAGAGCAGACAACAAACTAGTAAAATTAATAGTTATTAAATGAGCAGCCAACAATCAAAATTATGAAGTTACTGTTTAAGGACATTACAGGCAAAAAGATAATTTTTTAATGTACATTTGTCTATTTTGCTTCCATGTTTTCTTTCACTCTAATGGAGAGAAAACTTCCAAAAAACACATAAATGGTGTTCGTTTTACTACCATGTCTTTCATCTATAGATTTAAAGCTAATCTGCATTTAAACATAACATTTCAGGGGAAAATACTGACTTGACGCAAGTAACTATCTGGGGAAGTTGTGAGGTGATATGTTTTTCTGTTTGTTTTATCCTTTTCACCGGCAATGCCTTGGTAACTGCATGCTAATTAGCGCATTTTAATTAAGATAAGAGATAACAAGATAGTACTTTATTACTAGTGTAGTTAACGCCTAATTTGTATATCAATGTGGCGATTGTGATGACGTTATTAGATACACATTTGACTGTATTCACCTTTAGTGTCTCCCCAGGGCCGTGTCTCCCTGCAGACTGCGTGGAGTCTCACCTTGCGGAGGGGGCCTCATCTTGCGGAGGGTGCCTCAACTGAGACGAAAATGCGGCACACCTATGCGCTGCAATTAGTGTGGCGCGGCACGGTTTCGCCGCTGTGAGGCTCCACTAGTGATTTCCTCACCATTAGTTAAGCAGTTTAACAAACAAATAAACACTGTTGATGACAATGACGGATCTACAGCCACTGAAGTTTACATTTTTATTCAAACAACTTTTTTAACGTTTTGAAAAATGTCATATATGATTATATTGTTAACTAGGAACATTACAAAAAAATAAAAACTTTTATAAAACAAAACCAAAAGCTGCACTCTTCTGCACTTCAATTATGGGCAAATCAAAAATCAATAGAGAGAGCGTCAATATTTTAAAGAAATAAAATAAATGGCCTGTTGAAACAAAAAAACATTATTATTTTTCCCCTTTTTCACAGCATCCAAAACATGGTTATGGCCTCTTCTGGGGTCAGGACTGAAACAGAAAAAAAGACAAATATTTAACAACAGTACTAATGATGTCTGTAGTGCAGAAATCAGTTTGGATATGCGTTTATTAGTATTGATAATATTCTTGTACTAGTGTTATATAGTGGTAGTGTAATCCTTACATACAAAATAGTGTAATGAATTGGTGTAGTGTAAAGTTATTACTAGTCGTGTAGCTTTGCTCAAAGTAATGTTTAAATGTTAGTATTGTGTTTGGGGTGTGTACCTTTATATACAGAAGTTAGGTTTGGGCAATCAGCTCTACTTTTAGATCGTCCAATCATGTTTAATAGAGATAACTGATAAGACGATCCAATTGCACGGCGGTGAGCACGCAGGAGGGTTGGGGGGAGTGAGGTCACTGCACACAGTGAGAATTGAACGGAACAATGTGGATGTAACGCTATATCGACATTGCCCCGTTTCTCATTTATAACGCATCAATATTGCCAAGTTTTAGCCTGGCATCCTCATTTATCCGATGTCTCAGCAGCCTTTTAGAGTTTGGAGAAGCTGCTCTCCCCGTTTATTTAGAAAATGATGGCGCTGCAGGTTAGTGTAAGCGTGCAGAGACCAACAGAGATGGAGTTGTTTGGAAACACTGGTGTCGGTGTCGCTCTGAACACAGCGATATCACAGCATGTTCTGTTTAACATTATAGGCTATATTTAGTATCACAAATAGAATCATTATAGGCCTACTTATATGGAGCGCAGAGCAAAGGTTTGGCGAGCGTATGAAAAATGAAGACGCCGGTTTGAGACACGGAAAGAGAGGCAAACTGGGTCTCAAGACGCCTTACTATTTGACGTGCGATGTGACGGCCCCGAGCGCTGTGCTCAAGATAAAACTTGTTCAACCTTAGTGCAGCACTGACCAGCTCTAGCACCAGCAAAAACATAGACAATGAATGGATTAGAACCTGCGTGTCCTATGTGAAAGTCCCTTTAGTGTTCTTTAATGTTACATTTCTATTAAAGCCTGTTTTTCATTTTGAACGCAAAAAACAATGCTGTGTTTTCAATATCGGGGCCTTAACACCAGGTACCTCCTACTCAAAAATCCCAGCGTCCGTTGAGCAAAAATGGCTGCAGAACCAACACATTCTCACTCCCAACTCGGCCTATGTTGCCGTCAGTTAGGGGGAGAGTAGGGGCTCAGAAAACTGAAATCTGTATTGTTTCATCGTTTTTTCCTTCTAATTTTGTATTCTTTTCTAAACCACACATTGTTATTTACTCAACAATAAGACACAATTATCCTTGTGTTTATTTATTTGTTTGATTGTATAATGTCGGACTTTTGGAGTCCGTCAGGACTGAGGGCCGGAGCAGCTCATAGTAGTTGCCTTAGAGAATTTTACACGCGGAAGTAAGTATTCTCTCTGCTTTGCTTGACAGTCTATGGACAAACCCCGTGATTAGTCCTCAAGCTCTGTGATTGGATGTTTGAGTGTGCGCCGAGGGTTACGCCGAGCGTCGAACAGCACTTTGAAATGGGATGGAACCACGGCAGACTGTCCAAAACTGGATTTGATCTCTCTGCAGACCCATTCTCACAGCGTTTATCAACCTTTTTCTTACTCAATATCAAGCCACACTTATTGTTTTTACTTCGGCTGTGAGTTTGTGTGTGCTCAGGATGAGTTTGGCAGTGTATCTTAAACAAGGAAACAACACCTCCACGGAGCTCAGCGCGATTCACAACGTCCCGACCAATCAGAGCACACTGTGCTCACAGGGAGGGTGGGGGCTGGAGCTTTTGGAGCTACAACGAGCCGTTAAAGGCAGAGAGTGAAATTCAGTGAATACACGTAGTTTACAGAGATGCTGTATGAGAAACCAATGTGAGTTTGGAAAAATGCACAGTATACATCTATTCTAGTATACCTCAACAATGGAATTATGATCAGTGGAAATGGCCATGACACCTCTCCTTTAACAGCTGGTCTTATGTCTGTGACCCCTCCTGTTGTTAATTGATAAGCCTTGAAACATGCACTTGTCAAGGTTCAGAGGCACATTTTGCAAATATGGCAGTAGCCATTGATCATCTTAAGATAAGATATACTTTATTGATCCCAAGTAGGACATTTTTCCGTTACAGCAGCATGTGCAACAGTTGTAAATATGCAGTGGTGTTTACCACTAGGCGGTTAAAGCACTCAGGTTTACAGTGTTAACACAATCAAATATATTGCTGTTTCCAGTTTAGTTTATGATGGATGTATTTTGTTATCCACACATATATTGTTTTTATATTTGTAACACCAAACCGACAGAAAAGATGGTCTTAACATGACCCAGTGGTCTAGTTAATAAAAATAATATTATCAAACATAATATTAAAATTAACTCTTATTTTGAAAATACAGCTTCCTGTGTTCGAATGAGCTGCTCCGACCCTCGGTCCTGACGGACTCCAAAAGTCCGACATTATACAATCAAACAAATAAATAAACACAAGGATAATTGTGTCTTATTGTTGAGTAAATAACAATGTGTGGTTTAGAAAATAATACAAAATCAGAAGGAAAAAACGATGAAACAATACAGATTCCAGTATTCTGAGCCCCTACATAACTGACGGCAACAAAAGTCCGACATTATTCAATTAAAATAAAGAAGTAAAAACAATACGTTTGACTTGATATTGAGTTAGAAAAAGGTTGATAAACGCTGTGAGAATGGATCTGCGGAGAGCATTTCGCCGCGATCCCAACTCGTCTATTACCAACGTTCAGGGAGCTCTATGCAAGTCAATGGGACTCCCTGATAGTTGAAACTCGACGCTAAAGGGCCCCCCCTTGCGTTGGAAAGTGACGACAGGGACCCTGACATAAAGTCAACATAGGCCGAGTTGGAAGTGAGAATGTGTTGGCAGAACCCAGGGTGAGGCTGCTCGGAGTACATAGCACGAATGACACCTCTTTTCCCTTCTCCTACGTATCCTGCACAAGACAAAAGTGAAAAATCTGATCTACAGAAGCCTGTAAATGTAATAATACACTTAAAAACACGAAAACAACCAGAAGATGATGCTGGGCTGGCTAAACTTTACTCTAGTTAGGGTTGGGCTGATGGACAATGTCATCGTGCATCAGCCATGTATGACAGCCATCGCCGTTGGATACCTGACCATCATCACATCATGAGTTAAAAGGCGCCCCTCCCCTCCCTTCCCCACAAGATCGGGTAGAGTTTCCGTTTCGGAACAGTTAACTGCGGTACTCACATTACTTTAAACAGCCATAAAGTGAGAGGATAAGCTCAGGTCGATGTATAATAGTTAAACCGCTGACTCCTTTATTGTAACACGTATTAAAGCAGAAATAAATTAAAAGCATTGGTAAATGAAGCGCAGAGTTTAGTTTGAGCTGTGGCCCGGGAGCTGATCAAGCACTGCCGCAGCGGACATCGTCAATGTCCAGTTACACATCGCCCAACCCTAACTTGAATATTTGTTGAAATTAAAGAGTTAATGCATACTAAAAGTATTTATTGAGCTGTAAAATAAATTGTACAACTGTACTTCACCACCAGACTGCATTCTTTCCCTTAATGATCCCCTTGATGATAACAAGCTAAGGCATGTAGCGACACTCCCCCACAAATTAAGTTAAATGTAATTTAAGTGCATGAGCAAATCCGTTTGAGTTTAGTGTTTTCAGTATGAACACAAAGTCTGACAGCACCTGCTAATGCAGGTTAGCCCTGTTCACTAGCTGTTCCTTCTACACTGAGCAATGGTCAGTCTGTCAACGTACTTCTCTTTGCATTCTTGCTGTTCTTCCTCTTCCTCTTCTTCCCCCTCTCTGATGAAGAGGATGAGGAGCGGGAGGAACTGGAGGAGGAACTGGAGGAGGATGAGGAGGTGGAGGATGAAGAGCAGTCTAGGACCTTTTTCGCAAGGGCCAAAACTGAAACAAACAAGAGGATTAGAACATAACTATTGTTACCACTAAGGGTCAGAACATTTACAAAAATCTTTAAACCTTAGATTGTGTGTTTAGAGTTTCACGCACATCGGTGAAAATTCCTAGTGTTTACACTAAATTTGAAATAGTGAAAAATATCGTGACTTGAAATTTTAGGTAACTGAGACAATTTGTTCTTTATGATTTATGGAATATGTGAGATCATTTTCATGACTCTAGGTCAAACGGGGCATGTGATATGCCTGTTACAAGTTTGCCCCCTAACAAACAAACTCAACATATTTTAACAAGTGACTGTTCTTTCCCTCTCAATCCAACCCTCCACTGTCTGTTGATAAGTGAGAGAAGTGAGCTGTAGCCTGTTCTGTCAAGCTCCACCCAACCATTTGGTGGTGTCCGTCCTATATGCTTGTCATGATATGTTTGCAGTGAAATGACTGAATTGCTGATGCAACTAGTCATCTGCAAGCATGTATGGCCTCATGGACTGTGATGAGAAATGTTGTAGGGCTTGGTGTATGTGCCTGTTTTTGTTTTCTTTCTCTAAAGCCATCAGATGCCAATAAATCATTATTTAATCATTATTGATTTGCTCACCCTTAGCCAGCTGTTTCCAGAGAAAGTCCCTTTCACTTTCTAAAGATACTATTTTGTCGTTTGCAGCATCTAGCCTAATTTTCAAGGCATTATTGTTTCTGTGCTTCAGAGCTGCTATGGCTGTGGGAGCTGCAGAACAATCTGTAATGACAAAAACGGCAAAAATATAACATTCTCTTTTCTGTAGTTATTCCACAAATAGTATGTATAGGCAGATTGTGGTTCCATGCCTTTGCTTAGTGTTTTCAAAAAATGTACAATAAAATGTCAAAATTACAGATCTAGGACCGCCTGTCTTGTCGTAAAGTTGCAGACATGTCATTGATCACATTTAACAGAGACTGTTGGATTCTATATTGGGACTTGCAACTGCATTTAAACACTGCAAAACCTATGATAATACATTACAAAATAGTACTATATTCACTTCAAGGCAACTGTAAGATCATTGATTCTGACTTCACAAGTAATCGCAAAAAATAACTTCAACTTTTAATATGCACTCAACCACACAGAAGTGAAATGGGCTCTAGTACATTTGCACAAGCGTTTACATTTTCGTTATGTAATCTTTTCTTGTTCTAGTGTATGGTGCAAGATAATATATATATATATATATACAGGGTTGGGTTGTAACGGAATACATGTAACGGCGTTACATAATCAGAATACAAAAATCAAGTAACTGTATTCAGCTCGCGTTACATTTGAAAAACGAGTAATCTGATTACAGTTACTTTCGTAAACCTGAAGTGAATACATTTTGGATTACTTATTGGAATTATTAGTGGAAAGATTTCCTCACAACATTTAATATTCATTACTAAAGGTACAGCCGAATCATCACAGCGCACAAAACCTATTACCGCTGCAGATGGACCAAAAAAGGGAGCGTTTGAAAAAAATGTGCGGGTCCGCTCAGTGAAACAATAACAACGAAACATGGAGGAAGAAAAGTCTGCGTTTAAATCGTGTGTGTGTGTAGAGGTGTGTGTGGTTAAAACACATCAGCCTGCGGTCGCTCGTTAGCCTTTCTAATGATTCTGAAGGTAAACACAGTGAAGGCGGTTTAGCAGCAGCATGTTAGACAAAAACAAACCTGCCTGTCGGCCAAACCACTATCTGCCCACCCTGACCTCTACCACCAACAAATGTATGGCAAAGCACAGTGGAAGAATCTCCTCAACACAGGAGATAACAAGGGGCTTCACTTTGTGCATGTGACATCTTTAATCCACTATACGTTTACATAGAAAAGTCGGTTTTTACTGGTATCTGCTAAGCAACTATTCCTTTGTAATGGTACACCATCTGATACTGAGTGGATCCTTAAAGTATGCTTAACATTTTAAAGCAAACACTTACCCGTTTCCTCTCCCACAGGGTGCGAGCTGGGCTGTTCCAACTCAGGCTGGCCAGCCGAATCTTTAGCCGCTGTAACATTATGGAGCACAGAAAGAGTTGTTGATGTAGGGCTAGCATTACTATACAGAAGTATGTGTTTTCTGATTCATATATTTTTATTTTTATTTGTTTGCAGCTATACTATAACTTTATGGGAACTCTTTCAAAACTGGATATCTGAAAAGGCACTCTTGCATGCATGTTAGAATATAATGACATTACATTTGGAATTTTTATTCAGGACAAAAAAATGGAAATTATGTATAACTATCTGATTATCATTTCCAAACAATTTATCCACAGATGTAGATTTAATGGTTCTAAACCAATCATTTCAATTTTCATGAATGTCCTGTTTAACTATATTTTCATCACATATCGCCCAAAGCTGTGTTAAAATAAAATACTTTCGTTTCTAACGCCCTAATGTCATTTACTTACAGGGTTCCTGCAGGTTTCGCCAACTCAAATTTAAGACTTTTTAAGACCACTTTGAATAGAATTTAAGACCTATTTCACGGCAAGAAAGTATGAAGGAAAATTGCTATGAAAGAAGAAATACGTCCCATAAATGTATTCATGTTCAACATAAGAACAATGACTGAACATAATAGCATAACAGTACAGAACTGTGTTAGCGTGTTAGACAAAAAGTGTGTGTGTGTGTGTGTGTGTGTGTCTCTGTGTGCTTGTGTGTGTGTGTGTGTGTGGGCTGTGCAATTAATCATATTTTAATCGCAATTACGAAACAACATAATCGATTATTTTGCTTTGCTAGGTTGTGACAGTGCACTACAACATATTTGATCTAATTAATTTTAGTCTAATTTATTTTTATTTATCATATTTGTATATGTTTAGTAGCTTGTGGAAGTGCGCTCCAAAATATTTGTTGATCTTGTTTATTGGTATTTATTATTTTTGATATTATTTATTTAAATGTATCATTTATTTAATTTATTTTTTCAGTTGAATTATACGTTCAGGGTAATCAACAGAGGTGGGAGTAAGTCCTACATGTGCAAGTCATGAGCAAGTCTCAAGTCTTGACCTACAAGTATCAAGCAAGTCCCAAGTCACTGTGGTGAGAGTCAAGCAAGTCAAGTCAAGTCATTGCTCAGGTCAAGCAAGTCAAGTCAAGTCATACGAAATTCTGATGAATAAGCCCAGTTTCCGCATTTAAATCAGTTAAAAGACAGTGGTTATGAAAATGGATTTAACCCACACTATGATCTTCATTACATACACAGTTAATCATTTGAAATCTAATTTAGACCGATGACAATCATATTAGATTCATATTAACCCTAGAACTGCAGACAATATAGCTAGGACTCAATCAAAAAGTCTGTTCAAAAAGGCAGAATTCCAGGTAAGAAAATCATATGGCATTTGCCATTACACATATTTAATTTAAATGTCTGTTAACACTAGAACCGCCAACAGCGTCAGCACCTACATAGATATCATTTTCAAATCATTTAATTTGTTCCTCTTCATAATTTCCTTATAAACTACGGTTTTTACTGGTATCTGCTAAGCAACTATTCCTTTGTAATGGTACACCATCTGATACGCAGTGGATCCTTAAAGTATGCTTAACATTTTAAAGCAAACACTTACCCGTTTCCTCTCCCACAGGGTGGGTGCTGGGCTGTTCCAACTCAGGCTGGCCAGCCGAATCTTTAGCCGCTGTAACATTATGGAGCACAGAAAGTTGTTGATGTAGGGCTAGCATTACTATACGGAAGTATGTGTTTTCTGACTCATATATTTTTATTTTTATTTGTATGTGTTTTCTGATTCATATATTTTTATTTTTATTTGTTTGCAGCTATACTATAACTTTATGGGAACTCTTTCAAAACTGGATATCTGAAAAGGCACTCTTGCATGCATGTTAGAATATAATGACATTACATTTGGAATTTTTATTCAGGACAAAAAAATGGAAATTATGTATAACTATCTGATTATCATTTCCAAACAATTTATCCACAGATGTAGATTTAATGGTTCTAAACCAATCATTTCAATTTTCATGAATGTCCTGTTTAACTATATTTTCATCACATATCGCCCAAAGCTGTGTTAAAATAAAATACTTTCGTTTCTAACGCCCTAATGTCATTTACTTATTTAAGAGTTAAGATAAAAGGTTAAACCTTCGTAATTGACATATTTCAGAGTTAATTTGACAATTTAACTAATTTAACCCATAAGAACCCGGACCCATTTCTACTTTTGGGAAAATTAAGGGGAACATAATTTAGACTAATAGACCACATTTCTGACAATGTCACATTGGGCTTTAATGGTAAAGTAACTCTTATTTATAACTTAGTTAATGAGGATGATTTTTTGGTTTAAATTAGTTTGAACATTCTTTGAATTGAAGAATAAAGAATATATTAACTAAATATAATTGAATCAACTAAATTAACTGAGCAGATCATAATCATATTTCTAATTGTGACATATGTTTAAGGTTAATGTCCCGATGTGACAGTGTCACAGCGATATTTATCTCATTTGTTTCATATCAATTTGATCAAGAAATGTTAACAGGTTAAATGTAACAAAGGACATGTTATGTAAGCATTTTAATTCTTAAATGGCTTGAATTGTACCTTTAGCAACAAAAAACAAGCTTCTGAAATGTAGCTAGTTCTGTCACATGTGTTAGCCTGGCACATGGACATCTTGGAATGGGAACACAAAGTCACATGACCTGGACCATGACCCACCAGACTGTTCAGGGTGTGTCACTTAGGGACTTCATGAGATAAAAACAAGTCTAAAAGCTGTATAAGGAACTTTCCAGAACATTTAAATGTCATGTAACACCTGTGTCACGGTGGGTCCTTATGGTTTAGCTAGCAACCTCAAATCAGATAGCCAGCAATCCCTTAGTGACTAATTTTGCTAACAAGCACAGAAACAAAAGTGTAATACATGTGTCAATTGAGATGATTTCGCGAAGCAGTGTTACTAATTTTTCAAATAAATAAATTATTTCAACTCATGTACTTACATTCTGACAAAAAACGCCTGGGGGGCGCGATCTTCTTGCGTTTGCTTCTTCTCGTCTCCATTTTGTGTTCCAAGCGTGTAGAGGTTGAACTCACGTGTCACGGTCACTAGCCGAGATGCACGTTACAGACTCATGGCCAATCGTAGCACTTGAATGCTATGAAGGGGCGTGTCTTGCGTAGTGCTTCAGCCGGATCCCGATTTGCAGCGTATTAACACTTTATTACGGTTTTCATATTTTAATTGTATATCAGTGAAGATACAGAAGCTGTGCTTTGTCAATTTAACAAGGAAGATGAAATACCTGATTAAAAACATCAAAACTATTGGTGTGAATCGTGTGAACAAGAAATGACGATCAGGGTACTAGGGAGCTCCGCGGAGTTCGCTGCGCTTCCACGTCCGGTCTGGCCCAGCGGCAGTATCTTGAACTACGCTGGGTGTGAGTCTATGGTTGCATTCGAATAGTCCATTTAGCTTAGGAACCTTCCTAACGGAGTGAAATGACCCGGAAGTCCCTCAGTGGCAGCCATGATAAGTGCCGTTCGAATTCTCTAAATTAAAAGGAAAGGAGGTTTCAAACTTCCTTTATAACCTCCTTTAGCCTAGGAACCACTGGACCTCCCTAACCGAAAGGAGAGGAGAAAATGCTGCCCCACAATGCCTTGCGGCCGCAGCATTTGCCGTCACACAACAGTCGGCCGTTCACGGAAACAACCGATTATGAACGAGAAATGATATCATGAAAGTTACGGTGCTTATTAAGCATTTTAAAACGTATGTGGTAAGTTGCCAAAGTGCTTTGTTTTGAACGTTCATCAGTATTATAATCAAAAAGAGAAATATGAACGTTAGTTTTGACTGAAATGATCAAATAAAGTCAACATTTCAGTCTTTACTGAGCTGTGTGGGGTTTGTTCAACTTTTAAAAGATGTTTGAATGGTGATATACACAGTGATAGATGTTAAGGACTAACCGTTATAATAAATACATTTGTATTGATTTTAAGATCTTTTCATACAATCATACGTATTGGGATCATTTGTATTAATGTGGACCGGAGGGAGAGGGTGACGAGCATAAGTTTCACTTTCCTTTTTTATTTCAATTCCAACTTTGGTCATGAAGAATATGTTTCTCTGTTGTCCCCGTTCATAAAGCATAAAACAACAGCATCAGAGCACGGTGCAGAGTCTCTAGATGAGTTTACAGTAGTCCCTCGTTCTTATTAAACATCCATGTTGTAGTCCGCTGTATAGAAAACTGTAGTTTCCATAGTTTCCCCACAGCAGCAGACGCACATTTATGACGTCCGCTGGCGCATCATAAACACGTCGGATAGTGAAAGTGCAGTCGGATTCTCTAAGTACCGCAGTCTCTTCTCCTAAATCCTTTTGAATTCTCCTATCCACTATCCCTTAACCCCATGACGTTTCACTCCGAGGTCAAGGAATAGACGATAGGGATAGAACTTAGGAGCTGTTTTTTTGGAGTATTCGAACGCAACCTATGGTTTTAGGTTATCATGACACTGCACACGAAAGTACTCAGCCTTATTGACGGAAGACAGACTTTAAAAAAAAAAAAAAAAACATGATTGAATGGCTTCAAAGAAAAATGTAAATATGCAAACTCTGCAAAAAGAGGATGAAACTGGAGAAACACTCAAACGTCGACGGACTGCAGTGGTAACAGGGGCGGATCTAGACAAATATTCATGAGGGTGGCAGGAGATTTTGAGGGGTGGCATCCCCTGGCAGAAGTATGCTGATTTAATCGCAGTCATATCAATCAATGTTAACTTGGAAAGCCACAATATTAATATTTTAGTTCAATAACATAGGTGACATTATTGTGGCACATCAGTAAAGCCTTATATAAATATATAAGGTGGCAGACATAATTTAATGAATTTTAACTGAACAATAACTGAATGAGTTTGTTTAACTCTTAGACCAGCAGGGGTACCAAATCAGACTGCTGCAATAAGTACATTAATTAACTGTCTCATCGATGTTTGTCTGAATGAATATGATACTATTAACAATCATATTATTCCTATCAGCTGTCAATCACTGTTATGATTCACATATTCATTTATTATTGAAAAAACTATATTTTTTGGAGGAGTTAATGATGAATGTTCCTCAAGATGCTTGCTCACCCTCCTTCAAATTTGAAAGAAAAGTAATTATATCATGTATCAAAATTCAAAAGATTCAAAGGAACAGTTCAGCGCTCCATGACTTTACTGCAAACAGTTACAACCTTGACTTTACATCAGAAAGAACAAACATTAAAGAAGTGACTAACTGCATCAGTTAATAATAATAATAATTCATTTCTTTTATATAGGCGCCTTTCAAGGCTCTCAAGGTCGCCGTACAAACACACAAAAAACAAGATACACAATACATAACACCAGCATAATAAACATAAACAAGACAATGCAGTATATAACAAATTAAATAAATAAAACAGAGGATGTGTGATGGATAATGATCATGGTGGATATGCGAGTGTGAAGAGATATGTTTTGAGACGTGATTTGAAAATGGGGAGAGAGTCAGTATTGCGGATGTCAGGTGGGAGGGAGTTCCAGAGGCGGGGTGCAGAGCGGCTGAAGGCTCTTTAGAGTGGCGAAGTCACGCCCACCTACTTCCGGGTAATGGGACCTTATTTCGGAAAAATTATGCATTGAAGTCAATGGGGAGAGAAAACTTATCTTTCGATCCCGTTTGAATTGTGCCATGAATTACACATATGATGTTTGTCAATCTTAAAAAATAATTTCCATGTAAAAAAAGTCACAGTTTGTCGTAAAACTGTTGAAATATAAGACTATGAAAAATACGTAACTAGAAAGACTACAAATCCCAGAGTCGCGTAAGTGATGTCACAATTGTTTTCCTCCACCATTCAGATACCTAAGATCAGCGCAATATAGATATAATCTATCTATATGGCGCTGGCTAAGATAAGATAACTTTAACAAGATGCCGCTTAGTACCAGGTTGTTATTATACCAGCAATGGGTCTTGCTCGTTCTTTTGCTTCCCGTCTGATGAAAGGACCAGGAGTGGCTTGATCAAGTTAGCTACCTAGCTAGTAGCTAGCACGCTAGTTAGCATTACAGCCTTGTCATTTTTATTAGCCTTATGAAGTAACATTAAGTAACCCAAAATGTTAAACAGTAAGAGTAGTAGTCATATTTCGTGAACCCTTTGAATAGTACTGTCACCGGTGTGATCATTCTATAATACACCATTTAAGCCCGGGGGAGAAATGCTAACGCTAACGTTAGCATCGGCGATCTTCTCTACTTCATGCTATCTGCACAAATGGTTGACATTAAACATTAAAACGACCAGGCAGTTCAGAGAGAATCAAAGGAAGGCAGGCAGGCAGCTTTGCATGACATTCTTCAGGACGTGTTTCATTGTGGTGATAGTGAGGATAGTCAATCGTTTTGTTGACAAGACAGTAGTGACGGCCATCTTGGTGACGTGTGTTGTTGACCAGAGATGTAGTTCATTGAGCGTTTCACACAAACAAATGTGTTACTTCACAGTTTTACGACACTTTTTTTTTTTTTTGACTTGCAAAATTATCTTTTAAATTGACAAACATCATATGTGTAATTCGTGGCACAATTCAAACGGGATCGAAAGATAATCTTTCTCTCTCCATTGACTTCAATACATAATTTTTCCGAAATAAGGTCCCATGGAGGTCCACCGGAAGGGGAGGGACTTCGCCACTCTATACCCATGGTGGTTAAACGGAAGGGGGGTGCAGTGAGGTTGAGGGAAGCAGAAGACCTGAGTGTGCGGATGGGTGTGTTGATGTGCAGGAGGTCGGAGAGGTACAGCAGAGTGAGGTTATGGATGGCCTTAAAGGCGAGGAGCAGAATCTTAAAAACGATACAGGATTTGACGGGGAGCCAGTGAAGTTGCTGAAGAACAGGAGTGATGTGGTTAATGGAGGGGGTTCTGGTGATGATGCGGGCGGCAGAGTTCTGAACCAGTTGAAGTCTGTGGATGGATTTGAGAGGGAGACCAAATAGAAGGGAGTTGCAGTATGCGGAAAGTGACCAGGGTGTGTACAAGAATGGCGGTGGTCTTCGGGTTAAGGGACGGGCGGAGGCGGTTGATGTTGCGTAGATGGAAATAGGCAGACCGAGTGATATTACTGATGTGAGATTTGAATGAAAGTGTGCTGTCGAGGATGACACCCAGACTCTTAACCTGAGGGGAGGGGGAGACTGAAGAGTTGTCTATTGTAACTAACCATCAGTTCTTCAATCGCAGTCACTCAGGAACTCCTCATTAACTGCCATTAACTATCTAGTCGTTCCTTATTCACTACTCAGTAACTAAGCACATTTTGTGTACCTTTATTGTAAAGTGTTACCCTGTTTTTAGTACATTTGAATTACGAATAAATAGGAAAGTATAAGTATACAATACTTGAAACATGAATTTGTTCCACAAGAGGGCAACCACTTAAATTAAAGGACACCTATCATGCTATATTTGAACAATATATTGTAGGGCCATACCTATATAAAGTATATAAAATACCAAACAGATCCTGCATTTTAGCCATGCCTCATTTCGCTCCATTTGCTCTTTCCAGCACTGTTTTTGCAGGGGGCTGATTCTGTGAGCTGCAGCTGACCACGCCTCCCTGCAGGAGAGGGGAGCGTGCTCTGAACAGCTGCTGGGCTGTCAGAAGAGGGGGGAGATCTCCGTCCTCCGTGTTTTATTATATTATTATATAGAGTCGTTATTCATTTGTTTTAAAGCTCAATAAATAACAAAGAAGACCTTTGACTGGCACTTTTCTAATTTTGTCCGGAAGATTTAAACTTTAACGGACATCTTGACCGGCGAAAAAAAAACCTAACTGAAACTCTGCCGCACGGTCCCCTCGTTCCTTGGAAGAGGCGGAGAGGTGGGTGTTTGTCATCTGCTGGTGGACTAACCGGAGAGAATTACAGTGCTTGCCTCGACGGGGAGGGATTGCATTGAATTACAGCAGCAGGAGCAAACGCTTGCCTCGGGGAGGGAGAAAAAGAGCCACAGCGGAAAATAAACAGAAGGGCAACCATGGCAACCATGCGCGGGAAGTCTTC